CCTCCGCCGCCTCGCCCCCCTCCTCCGCGGACGTCTCCCCTTTCTTCGGCTTCTCCTTCGCCGGCTCCGGCTTCGGCGCCAGCGCCGCCGTCGGCGGCTTTGCTCCGAAGAGCTCGGAAGGAAGGAGGACCTTGTCGACCGAGTACACGGCGAGGGGGAAGTCGGAAAAGAGAGCGTTGTTGACCTGACTTTCGACAACACCTGTCGTGACGTTGACTTGATTCGTGGTGCTCGTGACATTGACCGTGTACACGCCGTCGGGGCCTGACGCCTGAGTTGACACCGGGTTGCTGGCCGTCTGGAATGTTGAGAGGCTGTAATACCTGTTTTATCAACAACATAGTTTATTAAGAATGGATGATTTTATAATGTGGATTTTCTAATGTGTTAGATATGTAAATTCATAGGAATTGAGTGGCAAATATGTAAAAGCCCCTAAAAGTTATCATCTTTAACATTTACCTGGGCAATACATGGGAGAGGACAAGGTTAACTTGGTCCTGCGAGCTGAGCCCATTGAGAGTTCCAGGCTTGAGATTATTGAAGGCATTATCAGTAGGAGCGAAGATGGTCAGTCCATTAAAGGAATTGTCGAGCTGACTTTGAAGCTGCTTGTCAATCTGCGTGGATCGGAGAAGGCGAATGAACGAGTTATACTGCCCGCCCTTGTCGAGAATACCGGTGAGATTTGACGGGCCGATGGGGGCCGGAGATGCGGCGGTTGCGGCGGACGTGATTCCGATGATGGCAGTGAAGGCGGCGGCGAGGAGGAAGAGATGGGAGGAGGTGGCCATGGTTGGAGGATGGGAGATGGGAGGTAGGAGGTGGAGGGAGTGGGGTGGGGATTTATGGCTTTGGCTGCCAGTTGGATTGAGCTGGAGATAAGTGTTACATGGAAGCCTTAAAGTAGTTGATCCAATGTTTAATGAGTAAAGAGCCAAAGTTGTCATGGTCATTATATTAGATCCAGAGTTCATAGAAGTGTCAAAATAATCACAGATTGTCTGAATTAGAGTAAAAATAGTTTTCATAAACGAGTACTGGAATTCAATTTTAAAATAGTCAGGACCTATTTTGACACTTCTACAAACTCTAAAAGGCTAAGGGTTTTCTTGAGGCTGCAGCGAGATGACGAATCGTTGTTTTTTCAGTTTGACAAAACTGTGCTCTGCTGTCCACGTTCTTAAAAAACTGCAACTAAAAGCTACGTTTTCTCATCACACCTAACTATGTACGGTATGCTAGCTGCTATCTGTCTTAAAAAAAAAAAATCATCACAGATTTTTGAACAACAACTTCTATTTCAGCGTGTTCACAACTGTCTGTTTCTAAAATAGCTGCAGCTGTCCCAAACAAACTCTAAAGCAGCTTCATGTAGATAATCAAGAACTATATTCACACTTTACTCTTAATAATTAATCATATTACTTGGAAATAAAATAAAAGAGTGCTAAAAATAAACTATTAGGTCTGAAATGTAAATATATAAGAATTGTGTGCTGCGCATGTAATTTTTCCTTGAAATAAATAAAGAGTTCCAAGATGAATCTATATATTACGACTGAATGAGCCATTGGATTCGGTTGGGCTGTCTATAATTAATATAATAATTTAGGGCTTCATTCTAACCTAATTTTTTTCTGATAATATATTCTAATCACCCTCATTATTTGTATAGGATATTTACAAAAATACCACCTAATTCTAATGTATTTACGTATCCAACACCTGAATTTTACTATTAACATTTATACCACCCAAATCTCTCCTATCACTTCGAAAATATCACTATTTTAACTCAAGGGTAAAAGGGCATATATGTTAAAATTGAAGTTGTAAATACTTGAAATAGAATGATATGTATTAGATCATGCAAATAAGTTATATTTATTCTTTAATATTTTAGTTTATGAGGTAGCTAGAGAGGGTTAAGATTCCTTCTATGCCATATTTAATGAGGTCATCTTGTAGCCTATTTTATAAAGTAATATGTTTCTTCTGAATTGAATATGAATGGCATGTCCTTGAAGGTTGCAAGCATGTTACTTCTATTGGTTTAAGTGATAAAAATATGTTTTATTGCATGTATTTATAAGAATTACAATTTTTAAAGTTAAGGGGAGAAAAAAAGCTTTGTTCCATAGCATTATTGTCACCCACTACTTATTTTAGTTGAAATTTTGAGATTAAGTGCATCATTTATGTAAGAGGCATTTGAAAATGAATGTGAAGAAGTGATTTTGATGTTTAATATTGGTAGAGTTAACCATTGATTGTACGAGCCAAGAGCAATATCTTCGTCCTAAAATAAACTTTGAGGCATCATATTGTGCAGGTTTGAGTTGCTCAAAGTTGAGCTAAAGGCTCTAGATCAATCGAATAAGTTAGGCAAAAGTGAGCAGGTCTTGTTCAAGTAGGTAGACTAGGTAGAGGGGATATAGCTATCTCATTCCTTGCATTCGACTTGGGATGTTACGAGTCTCAAAAATAATATGTCAATGAATTTGGTTCTGAATCCAATTGATAAGGATACATTGCCCAATTTTAGAGTTATTGCTGGTAGAGAGACAATGAAATTTGTTATAATTAGATTTACTAAAAGGATAATAGTAATTTTCACAATTACTCCAAATTTCTACATATCAAAATTTTGATTCTAAACCCTAATATACTCATGGTATCATTTATCACCAGATGTTCTAATATTTATATCTGATATATCATCCTTGAAAGTATAATCGATATACCATCCATATGCAATCAGTCGTCTGCTCTAATTCAATTTTTGTTGAGATTAGTCCATCCACCATCCAATAAAATTTATCATAGGATTCAATCTCTAGTACTCATTGTGAATTCATATAAAGGAAATTTAAATAATGATTTTATATCCCTCAAGAAATTTTTTAATATAGCTCATTTTTTAAGTTCATTTTCATAAATTTTCTTATGATTTTTAGCTCTAAAGAAAATACCTTATTGTTGATGATGTTTGTTATACTTTTATTAATGTGCATGCTACTCATAATAATATCATTATCAAACTTTTACTCATGGATTTCATCCAAAATGATTATTTTTATCACTATGCTTTCTAATGATGGAATTTCTATTGGTCACAATAATTGGCGATGGGCTTGATGCTCATCATAAATAATTTGAGACTATATGATATTCTAGGGAGTGGTAACTTACAAACTACAGTGTAAGATGATACTAGTTTACACACAAACTTGTCATCACTTGCTTATGTTGTATTATATTTGATAAATGGCATGTGACATCTCAAATATTATGAAGATGGTAGAATAAGGACTTGGTGAGTTCATTGAGGCAATAGCCCAAACAAGGAAGTCACACATCGTAAGGTTATCTCATGACAAACATACATGACAAAAGGAAGAGATGAAGGAACTAAACTACATATTAAGTTAGAAGAAAAAAAACTAGTGGACTATATAAGTACAATCTAAGACCCAAGCATGAGGTGTCTTTTTGTATACTAATTTAGTATCTTTAGGAACTTTATTATAAATGTGCTAATGTTAAAGCAGAGTCTAGATGAGTGCCCCATTTGAAAGTTATATCGAGATAGATAAAATTTCAAATTATAACTTCTTATGGGATGACCATAGACAAAATAAATAACTGGTTGAGATCTTATAATTAAAATTGTTATTAAACCTTTTGCATTAGCACATATGATTCAAGTAAAAATATGATTATTAGGTTTATGATATCTCAAATCCTACAAGTGTGGTACAAAAAAATACGAGAGTTATTATTAGAGTAGGTGCTTGAACAGAAACTTCCATTGATCAGCTTATATGACAACAAGAGAGTTGTACAGTAAGAGCAAGGAATAATCAACATAGGCTATAATTATTGCATCAACAGGTAACTAATTTCTCATTTTTTAGTGACTCAATGTACATTTCTGTGTTAGCTGTGCTGTCCTTGGCTCGTATTATATATATATCTCTCTATATATAATAAAGACAGCTTATACCATGAAATTATGTTTACTTCATATTTAACTCTCACCACTCAAACCCTTCTAAATTAAATAAACTTTAAAATTGATTTAAAATTTAAAAAAAATTACTAAATAAAATAAACCATAAGATAAGATAACAAATTGCACATGCTAGCCAGTTGAAACAAGACTTTCAATTATCACTTGCCAGCTACAAGTCCTAATCAGCTAACAAAAGTAATTAAGTCAGTTTATTGAATGGGAGCTCACATAATAATCATGTTTAAGCAGCAATTAGTACAATATATTGTCAATTAAAATATAGTAAATCATTACACACCTAAGATCCATTTTAATATATATGATTTCTGACATCCCACCCTCTTATAATATTAATTAATTATAAATTACTAATTAATTAATGCTGGCTAATTAATAGGGGTTGATAATGACAATGTATCCATGTTGTCTCCACGTCAAGACATCAACCAACAACTCATTATTATTTTTAAGTAAATTAAATAATAATATAAATAATAGATTTTTCCCATTGGCTTTAGTTTAAAAACACATTTATTTAATGCATTTTAATATATATATATATA